ATTTTTCTCTTAAAATTAGAATATAGTGAATATACACAGAGTACAAATCACAGCTTTTTTAAGATTTGACCTCTTAATTGGCTGACCTGACCCACAGATTAAACCACACAGTAGTACAGAACAGAAAAAAGAAAACTGGAGAAAATTACTAAAGATGTTTTTAGAAAGCTGATTTCAATTAAAATCCAATTTTGGTGTGAAAAGAAGAAAAAAATCTTTTCAAGTATGAATCAAAATGATAAAAATTCATCTTTTCTGCTGTAAAAACAGAAGTCAACAGAAAAATGCATTCTTTTGCTGGAATCCAGGCCTAGGACCAAAGAATTTACATATATTAAATTAACAAGATCCAAAGTCCTCTACAATAAATATTTATACTGTAAAATATTACAGCCACATTCCTGCATCTCCTTACAATAATAATTCTTAGGGACACAATATTCTAGAGAGTGTATACAACAGTGGATTTCTGCAAAGATGGAATGTTTCATTATCAGAGTACCAGCTTGTTCATAAATATTAAAAAGTATGAAGTTTTTCAAATATGTTTCTTACTGTTTACATTGTTTTTCTGCTACTGAAAAAACCAGTCAATGGGTACCTGTCCATAAGTCTCTCCCTCACAGTCCTGAACTGCAGAAAACCACTGTTGGTGACTGTAAAGGACTACAATGTTTGTGCTGGATATACAGTGAGCAGCCAAGGGAACAAGTAGTCTGGCCTTACTTATGCAAGTAGTCATTCTTACAGTGATGGCACTAATTCTTACTTGAAAGAACAGGATTTGTCCCAGATTGCAGACAGAATGGCACAATTCCTTGCTGTCTTACAAAAGTGGGTCCTAACTTTACATATGGTTATTTTCTGCTTGTATATGTTATAGGCAATCCTTGATATTAGATTAGAGCTGGAAACAGATATTCCAAGACAAAAAGAACTTATCTACTGCTACAAGAAAAATCATTTAGAGATTGCTCAAGACAAAATAATATTATAGATCTGATATAGATCCTGGATACATATTAGTCTGCATTATAAAAACAACACTGACAACAGATTAAACTTCCGAAAAGTGACCAAAATTTACAAAAGGAATGGCTTCTCTAAAACATGTTCTATTGTGGTTAATCATGAGGAAGAATACAAAAAAAAAATTTTAAATGGCAACAAAATGAAACAGAACAGAAAGACCCACACTGGCTGCAGCAATGTATCAGATTCATAAACTGGGCTTCAGAGAACTCTCTGTGGGAAAAGAGCATGTTTACCCTTGCATAAATAGCATTTACTACATGGTGAAATCGTATGGAGGATACCATTGAAATACAGAAATAAACGTGCTAAATTTGTAGAAAGAGAACTCAAGCATAGCAGTAATAACTGCAAACACATGCTTATTTGAAGAAGAACATTACCTAATTTGCTTCCTCTCAATATACAGAGACCTAATTTAAGCTGCTCCCCTCCCCTTCCCCACTTCACTATATTTGCAAGAACCAGTGAACACAGAAATGTACAGCCAGCCTGGGCCCTCAGGCCGGTGGATCAAGATGGCAGGCTGGCCCGGGCTCCCCTGGGGACAGCAGAGCCAGAAGGGTGATTGGACACAGTGACCTGTCTGCATGAGATGAGAAAAAAAACAGGAGGGCTGTAATGCTGATGAACTAACCTGTCACTCACAAGCTCAGGTCTGAGGGGAAAAAAAAAGATGGAGAGAAAAAAGAATACGAAAAAGGTATAGTAAAGGTTTTAGAAAGCATAGAAGGCAGACAAATTACAACGTCATTGGAATAATTAGATGACACATTTAATTATCTGTTCATTCAGATGGGGTCAGGATATACAGTGAATATGGCATAAAAATCCAGCTAATATTTTATATAAGAGCAAAACACAATTGAAGAAATAATGGATATTGTGGTTTGGCATGCAAGGGAGGACGCTACAGCCTATTGCTGGCAGGGATCAGGGTTTCATGCCAAACACTCCAGTTATGAATCAAAATCACAATGAGCAATGAGCTTCTAGATCTTGACACACAAGGCAAGGAGGTTGTTCTTCAGAGTACTTGGCTGTTTTATTGCTTGCTTGGGGGAGAAAATATCCAGAGGGAAGGCTCACAAGCAATTCTGCACCCTGGACCCAGTACACCCAGGTGCTGGGTAACAGTCAGAGTTGTAGCACTCTGCACACCATTGCCACCACGAGTGGGAATCACTGTGGACTGTTAAAAACAGTTGAAATCCAGATTGTTTTTAAAAAAGTAAAAAATGCATTTAATGATGAACAAGTACTTAGTGTTGAAAATGCCTTTGAATCGGTATGCTCTGCTATTCCATTTGTGTCAAACACAGACTAATGCCTGAACTACAAAAAACTGCTAGTGTGTCTGATCTCCATTGCATCAGCTATACATGTACAGTTTGGATTTTTAATTATGCGAGTTCACATTCCATTACCAGTAAAAAAGACTGAATTTAGAGCTACATCTGCAGGATTAGTAAAAAAAAATAATTCTCATGGCAGAAAAAAATTACAATGCTGATATAAAAAAGCCAAATTATAAACATTTATCCAATTTTTTGTGTTTGGAGGTTTGAAAGTTAGCAAAGACTTTTAAGAACTTTTTCTATTAGTGTCAGGAAATAAATGCATCTTCTAAAACTATGCAACTACTAAATATGCAAACCTTAACTATTTATCAATACAAAATAGAGACTTAAAATATGGAAAGATTTTGTGCCATAGGGCTTGCCTTTTGATAGTTATTTTCTTTTAAAATACTTAAAGAAAATCTATGGCTATTTTCAGCAAAATATACAACCAGAAAATTATACAACCAGAAAATGTGTAATTTTTTATCAGAAAAAAAAAAGTTAAACTTTTTACTCTATCTTAACACATAGCTAATAACAATGAAACACTGGACAATTAATCAAAACAAAAACACACTTGAAAATTTTGTGAATTTATAAACCCATTTTGATGTGCACATTTACATATATGAAATGTAAATATGCACACATGCTGATCTGAAAATAATGTTTGCAGCACCTAAGACAGTAAGTTTCAGAAAAATAACATCTATAAAGTCTAACACAGAAAACCCACAGAAGTTAGTCACCTAAAATACCTAAATTTATTTTTCTTTTAAATACATGATCTTGATACTAATTTGAGGAAATGAAATACAAGAACATATGATATAAACATTTTTCCAGACATTCACTGAACTTTTTTAATTAATGAAATATGGCATATTACACACAGAAAAAAAAAAATCCTTCTACCATTTCCAGCCTCAAAACCACTTTCTGAGAGTTGGCAAGCCTTAAACATAAAATAGTTAGCTTACACTTTCTTACATGTGAAAACAAAATTTATATTAAAGAGATATTGCAAGCTTTTAGATTTATAAAGATTTCAGGATACATTTTCTATCAAGTGCACTTGTTCAAAACCTTGCCATTGTATCTGCCTTGGAATCATTAAATATATTTCTGTAAGACTGAACAAGTTAAACAAAAAGGTAATTAACACAGTCTAAAATACATCTTTTTGCACAATGTAGTACTGGCAAGCATGCCCCACTTTTTAGGTATAAGCCAGCCTAACAGAAAGCTGTGAATGTTTGGAGGATTTTTAATAAAAAATGTATCTTCTATTTTTAAAATATTTAAAGCAATAAAAGTCTGTGGTAAACATGGCATTACATATTTGACATTTTCCGCCCAAAAATGCATTACTGTGTATGATGGTATTAATAAACCATGTGCTTTGAGGGACTTCAGTGCTGTGCCATAATTTAGATGAAAACAATGTATAGAATGCATATTTTTCTACTATTATATCAAAATATAGAAAACAAACACTATGTCATCATCTCAGCAGCATGCGTTCACTATACTGGAAACATATGCAAAAAACCACAAAGTTTTGAGAGTTAAAAAAATACCCTTTACCAGAGAATGATTTACAAGTCAGTGGTTAATGAGAAAGTGTTGAGCACTTAAAATTTTGTTAGAAAAAGAAAAACAGGCACTCTCATCTGACTCTGACTGCTTTCACAGGAAAACAGCCCTCCCTGTTCATCAGAACAAAATAATTTTTTTCCCCACTTCAGGTTATTATTTGAAGCAAATGAAAAGACAATGATTTTTCTCTCTTCTGGCTAAAGCTCAAAACAGCATGGTTAAATTACACATATAAAAACTACAGACTTATCAGAAATCACAAAACAGAAAGAGAAGGACTCACTGACCCATTTGGAAGACAAAGACGACAAAACGGAAAAGCTCTAAAAATCAGCTTGCAAGGCCTTAGAGAGATATTCTTCTGGCATTTCATCACAGCAGCCCCAGTTCACTTCCCTGGATACAGGGAGGGAGAACTAAATAGAGCTGTTTATTAAAGCTGTTGTGCTGGATTGCATTAGGAAGCACGAGCAGACCACCTGGACCTTTCAGATTGTGGCAGCGTTTAATTTGCAGGCTGCCCCTCTGCAGCAGCAAAGACTACTACATTTACCAGGTTCAATCACACATTATCTGGATTAGGAGTATAAGAAGACAAAATAAAAACAAAAAATAAAAGCCACAGCATCTAGTACATAACACAGTCAATATAAAAATAATGAACAGCATTACAAATAGAAAGCAACTCCCCAGCAAACATAACACTTTCACTCCTCGGTTCTTCTACTTCAGCATATTTAAACAAAATAAAACAGCAAATTAATAAATACATTGATTTGATAAAGCTCAGACTGAAATGGGGTTTATTAGAAGAAAAGGATGGTAATTTAGTTTTTTTTAGTGATTCCCTGGCCAGATTATTGTGTTTCTTTTGCCTTTCTCACTTTCAGTACTACACTCGCTGGTAGCTGAAGATACTGATAGAAAGATGGTACTGTAAATATGAATTATGTGAATCATATGGTTAGACCCTTGTGAAAAAAAAAAATAAATAAAAGGGGAGTTGAGAAATGGCTGACTCCATACCTGACCAATTACAGCTTGCATGGTCCCTGTGTCCTGCTGTGCTGAAAGATCGCAATCCATCATATGTAGTCTTTGAAAAGGAGAATGGGGGTTTCTGGCATGCATCTGTCAATCAACTTCTGCACTCACAACCATCACCAAAAGCAAGGGAAAAAAGTCAAGCTGCTCCACCAAATAGGATGAAATAGTCATGTGACCTTCAGCACTCTCAAACACATACATACTTCCACAGAACGTATGAATTTTCTGCAGATATGAAATGACATTGACAAATACCCAATACCAAGTAAATAAAGTGAGACAAACAGCTACTCACCAAAGAGCAAACACTTGCTGTAATCTTCAGCCTGAAGATTTAATATACCTATAAGGTATTTTAAACTGAGTGTTTTCTTTAGAGCCTAAACTTTTCAGATAAGGTGATACGATTTTATATATGCACACAGTGGTCAGAACTTTAACCCCTTGCGTCCTCTTGCAGCCTCTAATTTTGTTCCCCCCCTTTATACTTCTACTTTATAGCTTTTTGAGTTCTTGATTGTTTTTTTCTTTAAGTTTCTTTTGTGTTAAAGTGAAGTGGCCTGTGTTGCTGTCTTTGGATTTGCAGAGATTATGAGAAGTTGATAGAAAAAAATTTCTAACAAGAAAAAAAGAAGCAGGGGCTGAGAAACCTGTGTTTGTACTCACAAGTCAAAACATCTTACTGCTTTACTCCATCAGAAGTCAAATGTTTTCTTTACTGGAAATATATATTTAAGTATTAGTTTATGTGAGCTGTGATGAGCACTCAAAATATTAAATATTCAGAGTATGTAAATCCTACTAACAGAATCCTTTCCATTTTGAAGGTTAGCAGAATTTTGGTTCATTCACTGCTCCACTGAACTGACATAAAATGTTGTTACTTAGGAAAGCAAACATTACTATTTTTTTTCAAATGGAAGCATTTTGTTTCATGTATCTCCCTCTCTGAGTTAAGTTTTGAAAGAATTTCCAAGACTATTTTTTATTCTTGTCAAAATATATCAGCCACTTGTCTTCAAAAACTGGGTGTCCTGAACGACATGCTGCAGCATTGATTGCTGATACATTATTGGCCAGTGATTGCTGAAGGGAGACATTAATGTAACCTCGTAGCACTTTAACCCTTTGAAGATCAATACAGTCTTCTGGCAATACAGCAGAATAACAGCCCATATACTTTTTGTTGTATTACAGCTTCATATGAATATTAGTGCATCTTTCTGTCCTCCTCAAATTGCATTTCAGTTTCTAGTGCAAACAACACACTTTCCAAAGCATGTCAGAAGCAAAAATGCAGAAAAAACCCCAGTCTAGTCTCTATGCTTAACCTAACACACCCTTTTCATTTCAACAAGTTCCTGGCAATATTTTGACATTATTATTTCATTTTTAAAGGCATTGAAAATATTGATCTTAGCTTCTATGGTCAATGAAATGTGAGAATATCGACAATATTCTAATTGTAGGCACTTGCCAGTCTCCTACCACAGAATTTCAAGATTCAACGTCCAGAAGTGTTTGGAATGTGATGGAGCACATGTATATGTGCATATACATGTGTATGTGTGTATATGTGTACGTATGTGCATACACATGGAAGTATAGAACAAATGAAATTTATGTTGAGGGAATGAGATAGGCAGGGAATATCCAGCTTACTTTGCATTCTTTGAGTTTTTATAATACAATTATTTTTTAAATGCTAAGAAAAAACTTAAGAAAGGAAATTTTGATACATATTTTAAAATAGAAATAAGAACAATTCACAAGTAGATGCATGGGGACCCAGAAGTGTTCCTAGGACAAAATATTTTAGCATAACAAATTTTTGAAATCAAGAATTTTTAGAAAGATATACAATATTAACAATGAAACATTACCTCTGGGAGGAGGAGGAAGGAGTACCTGAAATGTTGTTTCCAATATCTGCTATGCATTTCATATATAAACATAAATAAAATGCACCATTTGAGCTGAAATCTTATCTGCTTCTTACTCATGAAAGAAAATACACTGAACCAATACCTTGGGTTGCCTTCTGGTCAGCTGAGAATTTGCTGTGGTCTCTTCCTCCAGGACAATTCTATGGAAAAACCAGGCAGTATTGTGAAGGCCATAATCAGCATCCATATCATCACAAGGAATTCAAAGTACAACTGGTAAGTGGGCGAGTGAGTAGAGGAGATTGCCTCAGCTGTCTCCAGGAAAACAGACACGCTAAAATCAAATACTGCATGTGAATTTGAAAGGAAAGTTAAGGATGTCTATTTTACAGTTTTTCTTCAGGAGAAGGCTTTCTGCAGTGGGGATGCACAACAAACACCTTTCACATTCCTTTAACTAATTTAACTAAACCTGGCAATTAGCACTGTGGGGTTTTTATTAGCAGAGACACTGACGTAGACATTTATTGCAGAACACAAATAAGCACAGTGTTGTATGCACGCAACTCTGCTACACCCTTACATACCAATAAACCAACCAGTGGCTTGCACACAGCACCAGCAGAGCTGCAAGAGCTCCCTCCTCCCAAAGTGAGATATATGCTACCTCTCTTTTTACCATAATTAACCTATACTTCCAGGAAATGCCAATCTACTATCTAAAGTGTAAAACAACACCCCTGCAGCTAATGCCTCTGCATAATTTACAGCACTGTTGTTAATGTGAACAGCTGCAAGAGCCTGCTCTGCTACTGCTGACCTCTGAGGAGCTGGAGACCTTTTCCCCCAGCCAAATCTACCTGATCATGTCTGTAGGGGCTGCACAACTGATCCCTGAGCACTGTTTCATCTTTGCTTCTCATCCTTCAGGCGTTCCACTGGCCATCTCCTGTAAGGTGTTGGTCCCACTTTGTCTTTTTACTTACTCTGAGGAATTATCTCCCTAACATCTCCCACTCCTCCTACTCACTCCCTCCCCTGAAAACACACTTCCTTTGCTGGTGGAAAGGTGATTTAGCTCTTCTGTCAGCAGTCAAAAAGGTGAGAGAGCAAGATAGCGCCTAATTTGCCACAGGGCAGGCTCAGATGGAGAGCAGGGTGCAAAGGGGAACTTGACTTGCCAGATTTGCTCTAGCATGAGCATCTTGAGGAAAATTATTGAAAGACAGAATGACAAATACTGCTTACCAACCAGCTTTGCTCTATCTCCAACAGAGACCTTCTGGTCTCCTTTGAAATTTTTTATCCATGGCTCTACATCAGTATACCTGAGAGGAAAATAGTTACGGAGTCACAGCTATCTATGGTAGCTATGCCTTCCTACATGTAAGCCCCTTCAGCACCTGTCACGAAGGACCAGATTTGCATTACTGTACCAAAAATCATTGAGAGAGGGCTTACACAGGGAGGAGGCTGATTTCTCACTTAATCTTTGACAGTGCAAATTCAAAGTGGTAAAATGGCTGTGTTTTGAGTTGCACACTGGATTTCTGGCAGCCAGGGAAAGTGTAAAACTGGATACCTTTAACTGCAGTAGACTTTCCCAGGTTTTTTCCCATTTTAATTGAAACAATAATAAAAAAGGTACTTTTGAATAATGTGCTTTATTTTACCTCACAGATACCCAGCTAAGAACTTGTGAAGAGTATTACTGTATAAAATAATTTCTCTCCCGTTTTCCAGGAAAATATATGTTTCCTGGGTGGCAAAACCTAGTATTTATAATTATAAAGCAAAGAAAAACCCAATTACTTCATAGCTAAAATGTGTTAAAACATGTGGTCATTTTAAAATGCTCATTATTTATGACTGTCTATTGTTCTTTCTTTCCTGAACTAGAAGCCTTGTGATCAACAGAGCCCAGGGGTTTACTAAAATACCTTTAGGCACTTGATTACATGCCATAGCAGAATTCACAGCAGATTTAGCACATTGAGCAAGACAATGCTTACAGCACTGTTACACTAGGGGGACTCTTTTTCCTCTTTTCTCGAGTGACAGATGCAGAGCACTGTCAGAGCAAGCTGTTCTACCTCACACTACAGGCTCTTTACTCACCCCTTAAACACAAAAGACCCAGTCTTGCCCTCCTCAAAAATTAACAAATCCAATTCTAAACTGTCAATGACTTTTCCTCCCTCTCTCACTCTCTCTATCCATCTCTGCCAAACAGACACTATATGGCTTTTTGCATCTTGATTTTCATGGATATGTGAGAGGGGTTTCTGTATGAGTAAACTTCTGCTAAATTTTGTTATTTCCAAAATAATTGTTTTGTATTAAGAGATAGCAGTTACAGTTCCTGCCTCTGCAAGCCCATTTTGGCCAATCACTTTTATATTTCAGAGGGAATTCTGCTATTAAGAAAATATCTGACACTTATAATTTCTCCTCCTCCAGATTTCTTTAATGTATAATTTCTGGGTTTCCTCCCATTGCCCCAGAGCTCCATTTTTCAAAAACCAAGCTACTGGCACATACTCACTTCAAGAATGACACTTCTGTCTCTTCCTGTATCATGTAAAGGAAATTCAGGAAAAGATGTTTCTGTGCCTAAACTGCTAGAATAAGGCATAATCTACATTTTACTCCTGTAGAGCCAGTGGAATGGCTTTCCCTCAGTGCTTATCCTTCCCTCTCTAAAGAAAACATCTGCAAAAAACTTTTTTTTCTTGCTATTTTAGAGAAAAGAGACTTGCTGTAACACTTTGTATCTTTGGAAAGGTAGAAATAATTTCTCCCCCTTTCCTTCTAGATCTAAGCAGCTGGTTTGATTGAAAACTTATTTTTGTGTTTCAGGAAGGACAAATGTTCAACAGATCTTTTGGTTTTCTGATTCAACTGGAATTTATATAAAATTTAAAATCTAGGAAATGAGAATGGGATTCTTTCTCCATAGTAAACTACATAGTGAAGAGACAGCACCTTCCTCCTCTACTCCTATGCTAAGTGATGGGAGGTGATTACACCAATGATGATGGAATCTAGTTAATCAGAGGACTCACACCTCTCAGGTGAAATGGAATTGTGGAGGAAAAACATGTTGAGAGAGAGGAGGGATTAGCAAGAAATGGTGATATTGAGTGGGTAAGGTTTAAGAATATACTTCCTAGGTACATTCCCAACTCCAGCATTCTA